TAAAAAATCTTTTCCTCATGAGTTTTAAAACTACATTTGATGATTGTAACAAAAACTATAGCACCATTTGATCCCCATGACAAAGCTATTTTAAAACAAAGAAGAGAAAGGGACCTTACTGGGGCTTCCACACTTCATTCAAAGTGGTAAAATGTTGAAATTATTAGACTGTGTAATTCATAGGTAGATAGATTGTTAGGTCAATAGTAATACTCAGAACAATCACTACCTAAACTATACAAGGAGATACACTCAACAACACCATCAATAAATCAAGATATTTACCTTCTTTTCTAATTGATAAAATCTTTGTTTTCCTTCAGAGGTGTGCTTTACTAACCATCTGTGCTCTACTAATTTCCACTCAGAGCTCATAATTTTTTTCTATATACATACTAGAGGCCCGGTGCACAAAAATTTGTGCACTGGGGGGGGGGAGGGAGGGGGGGGTCCCTCAGCCCGGCCTGTGCCCTCTCGCAGTCTGGGGCCCCTCAGGAGATAACGACCTGCTGGCTTAGGCCTGCTCCTGGGTGGCAGAGGGCAGGCCCAATCCCTAGGTGCAGCCCCTGGTCGGGCACAGAGCAGGACTGATTGGGGAGTTGGGGCGCTGCCCCTTGTCATGCACAGAGCAGGGCGGATTGGGAGGTTTCGAGGCCACCCTCAGTCACGCTCAGGGTGGGGCCGATTGGGGGGTTGGGGCACCGCCTCCTGTCACACTCAAGGCAGGGTCAATGGGGAGTTGGGGCACCACCCCCTGTCACGCACAGAGCAGGGCCAATCAGGGGGTTTGGGGCGCTGCCCCCTGTCACGCACAGAGCAGGGCCCATCAGGGGGTTGGGGCGCCGCCACTGTCACGCACAGAGCAGGGCCCATCAGGGGGTTGGGGAGCTCCCCCGTCATGCACAGAGCAGGGCTGATCAGGGGGTTGGGGAGCTCCCCCCTGTCACACACAGAGCAGGGCTGATCAGGGGGTTGGCGCGCCGCCCTCTATCACCCACAGAGCAGGGCCGATCAGGCGGTTGGGGCGCCGCCACTGTCACACTCAGGGCAGGGCCGATGGGGAGGTTATGGCTCTACCCCGTCACACACAGAGCAGGGCCCGTGGGGGGGGGATCAGGGGGTTGGGGCGCCGCCACTGTCACACTCAGGGCAGGGCCGATGGGGAGGTTATGGCTCTACCCTGTCACGAACAGAGCAGGGTGGATAGGGAGGTTGTGGCCCCACCCCCTGTCACACACAGAGCTGCAGGGCGATCAGGGGGTTTGGGCGCTGCCCCCTGTCATGCTGATCCGGTGCTGATCCGGTGCCAGGAGGCCTCGTGGCTCCGCTGATCCTGGATATTACCTTTTTACTATATAGGATAGAGGCCTGGTGCATGGGTAGGGGCTGGCTGGTTTGCCCTGAAGGGTGTCCTGGATCAGGGTGGGGGTCCCCACTGGGGTGCCTGGCCAGCCTGGATGAAGGGATGATAGCTGTTTGCAGCTGGTCACACACCCTTCAGGGTGGGGGTCCCCACTGGGGTGCCTGGCCAGTCTGGGTGAGGGGCTGAGGGCTGCTTTCAGGCTGGCGGTTGTTGACTGAAGCTCCCAACCGCTCCTTTTTTTTCTCTTTTTTTAATTTTATTCTGGGCCAGCTTTAGCTCTGGCTCTAGCTCTGAGGCTTCCTATCTGGTTTGTTTGCTGTTCTATAATCAAAACAATGTATAACTTCAGCTCTGAGATCCCAGCAGGCTGAAAGCTGGTTTCTGGGGTTTTGTTTAGCTTCTACATTTGCAACATAGTACATAGTTGCTTAGAGTTGCAACTCAGAGGCCGCAAGTCAGGCGGGGAACGTTGGAGTCCTCCTTCACTGGAGCAAGCAAGCCTCATGTTCACTTCCAGCTGCCTGGCTGCCGGCCGCCATCTTGGCTGACAGTTAATTTGCATAAGGATATGCTGATTAGCCAATGGGAAGGGTAGCGGTCGTACACTAATTACCATGTTTCTCTTTTATTAGTGTAGATTATAATTTATAACAGTGGCATACAAATTACCACATATTATAATCAGCTATATAGTTATGTGTTCCCCACAGTAGTCAGTAAGTTATTTTGTCTCAGATTTGTCTTTGTATGTATGTATGTATGTATGTATGTATACCTACCCAGGTTCTGGGTTTACCTGTAGTATTGTCTCTACTTTTAAATTTCCTCCATAGAAGAGGACATGGTGATGTACATAGCATTAGAGACTAAGATAAACATAGAGATAGGGAGATACTCCTTATCTCTATACAGCAATTTCATTAATCTTAAACTTCTTTGTCTCTACCGAGGTCATTTATTACTAGACAGTTATTGTACAGAGTGATTAAATATTAAGGCTCTAAGACTAGACCTGGTTTAGAGTCCTGGCCTGTCATTTACAAGTTCTATGTTAGATGAAAGTTCTTATAACTTCCTAATCTTAAATATTTTTCATCTATAAAATGAGAATTATCATTGCTTCATGAGTGCTGTGAATGCTAAGCTTATGCATGATAAATATTTAGCATGAGGCTGGACATAACAGTCTGCTTAACAAATGGTAGTCATTTCCAAATCATTATAATTATTTCAGTAATTATATTTATTAGAAGACCAGAAACAATTTTTAAAGAAGCAGATATTGGGAAATAATAGCATACCAATAAATTTAATTTCAACATTCTTTTCTAATTTCAACATTCAGATTCTAATAATATTGAAATAAATATAATGAAGTTATTATGATTTCAATGAAAAGAATGTTTTTAACATTTTTAATATGTAGGGGTCTCTGGTAAGCTCACTAACATTAATTTTACTAAATTAAGTGAATAAAAAGAAAGCACAAATTTTCCCAGTTTTGAATTTTGAGACTGAATGAATAAACTATAATGTAAGATTCATTTATAAATGTTTTTTTTATTATTATTTTAGAAAGTTGCCAAACTGACTTGCCAAAGAAAAGAAACAAAACTTAGTGTGGTTAACAGGTTGCATTTATTATTTTCTCTAAAGTACCTAAAAAGTAGAATATATTGTATGACTTTGTTAAAAATAATTCTTTACACAATATTGGTAGGTTAGTGGCAAACACAGTTTACATGTAAAAGATATAATTTTCAAACTAAAATCAGTTTGTGGTCTTTATGGAATTTACAGAAGCAAGTTAAGATTCAGTTTAAATATTGGAAGCGGTATCTGCATTAAACCGCTTCCAAGACACAGAAAACGGATAAGCTTAGAGAAAGCACCAGGTCAACAGGTTACCAAGTTAACACTGATCTCTTATGGTCCCCATCACATACCTGATGGAGAACAGGAGGAGAAAGGGAAGGAGCACATAGAAAAAAACAGAACCCTGAAGTTACATTTGCTTAGGGGATCAGATTCCCAAAGGCATCTTGGTCAGGTTAATACATTTCTGAGGAGCAAAGATAGTTAGATTATAATAGTTAAGGCTCAAGATCATGCATTCATAATAAAATACAATTGCTGACATTTAAATGGCATTGAATGTCATACAACATATTGAAAACTTGTCATTTAAGCTTACAGTATAGATATTTTCGTTTTGAATCCTTTAGGACTTTATAGGCACATTGATAGCAAGTTTTATACAAAATTAATAAATTTCAGGATCTCGAACTACATGGATGTGACTGCATTTTTATGAATATATCGAAAAACAATTTTGTGCCTATCTTTTAAAAATAATTTTAATACTTAAAATTAATGTTTAGGGTTTTAAAGTGTTTCAGACATAAAACATTTTACAGAGTAGTTACGTATGTGATGAGATAGGAACAGCAAAGAACTTGAAAAGATAAATGAGTAAGTGAAAACTAACTTGCATACATTAATGTTATAAAATCCCACCAACAACAAACTTACACTTTGATCTCTTAATTCAGAGTTCTCACAGTTTCTTTGATCATTTTCTTTCTCTAAAGTATAAAGAGCCATAAAATACAGCAAAACATACTTTAAATTGGCCAGTTTCCCAATGAAATTGGCCAGTTTCCCAGTTTCCCAGGATCAAGACACTGTGAAAATCCCTAGACACAATGGTAGCCCTTGACTCTTCTAATTCAATTATTATATGCATTTGTCAGATCTTATATACTCAATGTTACATTATGGATAAATAGTAAAATACATCAGGTCTATGATAATGTAAGACTTGAATCTATTAACATATTGCCTATTATATCATTTTAATAAATGTATACTTTAAAAAATGTGTTCCCTTTATTTTTCTCGTTCTAAGAATCATTCTTTTGGAGAGCTGAGCTTAGGTGGAACTAGCCAGAGATGAGAAACCAGGAATCCAAGAACAATGAAAAACACGAATTCCCCTTCCTCATACCAAAAAGAAAAGAAAACAAAAACAGAGCTCCAATCAATCTTTTTCAAATGTGGTTTGATTCAGCCCAAGGTCTTTGTGATTGATCTTGAAGGCACTTTCTAAGAACTGCCCTTCCTCTTCCCCAATTGGCATCTGTGTAGCTGAGTTCATGATTTAATGGCCTGTGGCATTGTACTGTTTTTAAACACTATCCTATGTTAAGAAAGAGGGGACTTAAATCCCATCAAATTAAAATATGCATAAAATATACAAGTAAGACCCTTTTGTTACTAATCTCTACCACCTCCATCCCATTGTCCAGAGGAAGCACACACTATGTAAATCATATATAGAATCCAAGCATTGGGTTATCAAATGGGAAGTTTAAACCACTTTAATTCACTACAGTGATTTAAAGTGTTGTCTTGGTTACATTGAACACAGAGGGGTAAAAAAGTGAATTCAATATGGAATCTTGTGAAAACAAGCTTAACTTCCATGAGTTGTAAACAATTGATGATTAAGGGAAATCTTTACTATCTCTAATCTTTGCTTTTATTTCTGTCTTAAACTTTTAACATTTTTGAGATATGTAAAGAAGGTGAAAAGGTGGTAAATGGAACTAGATCTGGCTTTGAATAGTTGATTTTCCTAAGCTCTATCAAATTAGGCATCTTCTTTGGTAGCTTGAACTTCCCTGTCATCATCTATCATATGGATATCTGATGTTTTTTTGTCACTTTGCCTCAAACGGTAACTTTTATAAGCACGCTGAATGATGGTTGCTGAGACTGCCTCTTGTTTTCGTTTCAGGGTAGTTGTAATTGGCTCATATGTGATCTTAAAAGGGTTAGCCAAGATAAACCCCGATTCCATCTCTGAAAGAAGTTTCTCCATCCTCACATCTTTACCCACAACTCGCTTTGTAAAAGCAAGTAAGATGTCTAGGCAATGAATTCTGTCCCCAACAGCCATTGGAAGATCCATGGCCACAAGCTGGCCCTTGTTTGGTTTTGCCATGAAAAGTGGAGCATCCAGAGCAGCTGCAAAATCTGAAAGCTTGCTAGAATCTATGTACTGGGTCCCATCAGGGTCAAACCTCCTCCAGACCTGAAAGAATTTCCTAAAGTCATCTTCACTCAAGGTCTTGGCTGTTTTTTTAGAAGCAATATTTACAAACTCCATAACAAGAACAATGTACATGTTTACAATGATCAGCCATGCTATGAGGATGTAACTGACAAAATAAATAATTCCGACAATGGGGCTACCACAATCTCCTCTAACCTGGGTCCCAGGGTTAATTTTATCAGGATCACAGTCAGACCATTTACTGTTAAAAATAGCATTGAGCATCCCATCCCAACCAGCAAATATTGTAACCTGGAAAAGACAGAGCATACTGCTGCCAAAGGTTTCAAAGTTGGACACATCATTAATTCCAGCTTCCTTTTTCACATAGGCAAAATTGTACATGCCAAAGATGGCGTAGATGAACATGACGAGGAAGATGAGCAGACTGATGTTCAACAGTGCCGGGAGGAAGAGCACCAGAGGAAGCAGCAGATCGTGGAACACCTTTGGTCCTTTCCCAGGTCGCAGGATGTGGATGATCCGGGAGAGAACTATCAGTTTCAGGAAGGAAGGAAGTACAAGGTAGTATTCTCCTATCAGAGGCAGAAGTAGTCCTTGATGTGGGGAAAGACAAAGCAGGCAATCAAATTATTTAAATTTCATGGTATTTAGAGGACTGTAAACTTATTTTACATTTCACTTTTTTCTGTAAGTTAAGATTATTTTAATTCATCCTCCCTATATAGCATTTAGCACACATTGAAAGTTTGGGTTAGCCCAATAATAATTGTGGCAATGCTCAGAGTATCTAATAAAATTTGGAAGAGAATTCTTTGCATCATCGCCTTAAGAGGATTATGTATCAAATACTTCTGGAATAACAGAGAGCATGAATCTATAATATAGGACAATAGTCATTTTTTTCTGATTGTAGTTGAATCAAGAAATTTAATTCAATGCAACCTTTATTGGATACTTAATAAAGGTGTTGTGCACATATGCAAAGATGATCAATGTGGCTTTGTCCTCAAAGACTTTGTAATCTTTAGAGGTAGACATTTAAATTAATTATAATGCAAAGCAGAAAAATCTGGTTGATAAGTATAATTACAAAAAATGTTTTTTATTGAATTTATTGGGGTGGCATTGGCTAACAAAATTATACAGGTTTCAGGTGGACAATTCCACAACACATCATCTGTTCACTATATCTAGTGACTCACAGATTATAATTTAATTTATTTATTTCATAAATAGTATGGGAGCCCTTGGGAACTTTCAATGTGAATTGAATAGCTGAGTCTTTGCCTGGAACGATTTTCTGGCAGTAGTGGGTGAGTGAGGGAACTATGAAAGTGAAGACAGAACTATGAAACAAGGTGAAATTATAATCGCCATAAAAAAGCATAAGGATGTTCTCTGGAAGTACTGGAGGGGATGTGTTCATTTTGAGTTGAAAAGTTGGGGGAGGGGAGAATCATGAAGCTTTTAACTGAGATGGCATGCAGCATCTGGTAGACTCAGGTCTCACATTTCTGTTGAACTTTGTCACTATTAATGTTGGCATTCTCTCTGATGTTCTGTCTTATATACACCCTCATCTTCACAGTGTTTTAATGAACCTTCTACTCTGTGTAAATTTTTCATTTCTCCTCAATCATCCAAACTCTTCCATTATGCAGGAGGTATCCCCCTTTAATATAGACATATTTTTCTACATCCTCTAAACTGCAGACAGCTCATTCTTCCCCACTCCATATTTCTCCTGGTAGAAAGATGGAAAAAGCAGGCACCTTTTTTTCTTTACAAAGTGATTTCCAGACACCTTTCTTTTCCATCATTTTTAGAAAAAATTAATTTCAACTCCTTGTGGGTCATGTTATTTAACAATACCATCTTCTACCATTCCTGGCTCTGTGATCTAGTCATTCCTCCTCATTTATATTCAACTGGACTCAAGTTGGCTCATGTCATCCTTCCCATCTCAGCACCTACCAGCAACAACCCAGTCAAAGGCCAGTCTTTCAGTCTTCGGCTTTTTTAATGTTAACAACTTTACATCAATGGCCACATTCTGGACCCACGCAGGATACCTGCCTTCCGAGATCTCAACTCCAAACAGCTTTCTCTCTGACCACAGTTTCCTCTCTTTCTGATTCAGTAATTCTCACTTGAGTCTCAAAGGGCTCTTTAATGCCATATTCCTGTTACCTTCCTACCCGCTCCCTCCTGCCTTTATGCACTTTCAGTCAAACTTCTTGTACTTGTCTGTCAATAGTAGTTGCACTGTTTCCACTACCAGGTGAATGAGTGGATTTTCTGGAAGCACAGCTGGGCTGACAGTTCATCTACATTTTTTTTACTGCTGACTACACACAATAGTAATTGACAATAAATATCAAATATTGTCCCTATTTTCATGGAGCTCACATTCGAGTATGTGTCTTATAGGAGGCAGACAAGAAACAAACCTTTCTCTGCTTAAAATCCTTTTCTCTTAGATTATTTCTTGGCTACCTCCTTATCCAATAGTTAATTTTTGCTTTTTCCATGAAGTTTTTTCTGACCTCTACTTACTGATTAGGTGTGTTGCTGTAACATCCCTTATATAACCTTTTCATATCCTTAATAGCACAGTAAAATGCACTATTAATTATCTGTATCCATTAATAGATTATAATAGACTAGAGACCTGGTGCACAAAGTTCATGCATGGGTGCGGTCCCTAGACCTGGCCAGCAATGGAAGCACGAGCATCTGGCATGGAAGGGCAGATACCAGGTGACCTCTGGGCCCTGGGCAGCACCTGGGCTCCCAGGCCCCCACCTGTCCCCCTCCGCCACAGAGCCCAAGTCCCCACATGGAGATGCGGAGAGTGAGACCAAATGCTGTGGGCCAGGGCACAGTGTGGGCCTCTGGGCCACCCAGCGGTGCTGCACAGAAGCTGGGCAGGCAACGTGCTCTCTCCAGGCCAGCCTCGCAGACTGGCTTCTGCATGAACCCATGGCGAGCACGACCAGACCCTGAGGTCCCGGTGGCTGCAGCCTAGCTCACCCAGAAGTGGCTGCGCAGGTGCAGGGTGGGATCCTCACAGACACCCAGCACCTGAGCACCCCTTGCCAGCACCGCATCACTGATGCCCACCATGTTCTACACCGCCCCTGGGGATCAGCGTATGTCATCGCGAGCGGTCGAACTCCTGGACAAACTCCCGGTCTAATGACTGCACAAGGGGACAATTTGCATTTTAGGCTTTTATTATATAGGATTATAAACTATGGGCATACAGGAATTATGACTAACTTGTTTACTAACAAGTTCTTTGAATATAGTGCAATATCTATTCACAAAGAGGATAATCAAATATATTGGTTAAATCAAAGACTGAGATCTCTGGAGTAAAACTAGTGACCTAGAGCATTAAACTCTACTGTTGTGAAAGCTGTAAGTAGTTTTAGCGATTAGGAGAAAGGGAAAATAGTGAGCTTGAAAGTTTATATTATACTAGGATGTATAGATATTTAGTGTCATCCTAAAAAATAATGTAGTTGATATGCTGAAGGGGTAATTAAATATTTACCTGGTGGTCTGTGAAGTAAAGTCTGTGCACTAATTCAAACAGTATTTTTGAATATTTTATATATGTCAGGTATATGTACAGATATTTTTATATAAAATGCAAAAATGTAAAGCATTTCTGTTGGAAATAACTATAAGAACTTGCCTGAATGAATATTACTACAAATGAAACTCTGACTACATAAAATCTTACCTGTAATAGAGAAAATGACCACTATAAAATCTAAAACATTCCATCCACTCGTGAAATAGTTACAACGGAAAGCGATGAGCTTCAGCACACATTCTCCAGTGTAGAGAATAATGAAAAGCATCTGAAGCCAGAGGACAGCGGTATCCATTTGTCTGCTCTGTTCATCACTTTGTATCATAAGGGTTATTGCTTGTAAACAGATAAGAACCATAATGATGATGTTAAAAGCTTGACTTGTTACCAAGTCAAAGATGAATCTTCGGAACTTGTTCTGTGGGTGAAGAAAAAGGTGTAATAATCATATTAATAGGATATCTATACACACACATAGGCTTTAAATTTATATCTTTCCTCCCAGCATAAATAGGAGAATAAGTCAGGGCCTAAGTTTGTACCAAACTAGAATTATAGCACACAGTCAAAGCAAACAAGACCATCAAAAGCTTTGTCAAGGAACACATTTAGAAAAATTTTTGTCAAAAGCATATTTTGTTAAGAATTTTAAAAACGCATTTATTTTAAAGATGAATATATCAAGGAAACTTTTTTAGAAACTTAAAAATATCTAGATGTTTTCTTACTCCTGGCCAAGGTATTGTTTTTCGAGAGTCCTCATACATCAGCTTCTTCAGTGTTAGATATTGTTTCTCCTGTTTTTCTGTTATAAAAATATTGGAGCCTCCCTGGTAAAGAAATGAAAGAAAAATATATTAAAATCATATTTAATCCAAATTTCATTTTATATTAATATGCATTTTGGAAAGCTTGGTAATGATTGATTTAAATAAAGGCTTAATTGCAGTTAAATAAATCATGCTTAAACATGTCTCATTTTCTGCACAAAAATCCATATAAAACATATATGGAATACATATTGGTAGTGATTGATATTCAGTTATCTTTTGGTGCACCTTACTGTGGGTGGTCAACCTATTTTAAATTTTCATTTTACTGAGCTACCTCTTGTTAGACCGAGACAAAGGAGAAAGGGAAGCCTAGAAAGGCTTCTTTCTAGATATTTGACCACTGACCTCTCTAATCCCATCTGATTAGTAGAGATTCAGAGTTGTTTGTTTACCAGAATCTGCACATAGCTAAACTTTGCTGACATGGCTAACTTGTACTTTTAAAATTAAACGATTCTTTTCTTCGAATTGTTAGAAGGCTTTTCTCCACCAATAAAAAGCAGGTCCCTGTGGTTAGAATAAGACGTAGATGAATTCTGAAGCTTTTGCAATTTATAGAAGCATTTATATGAAAATGGCACCAAAGAAGTGGTTCAATTCTGCCTCTGAATTCTTTCCAATTAAGCACTCCTATGTAAGCCACCCAATTCAAATGTATGACTCTCTACTTCTAGCATGAAAGCTACCCTAACCGAGAAGATGTCTATGCTGGCTATGACTCTGAAGACTTTGAAAGTTTCAGAGAGGAAGAAAGTGCAGTCTTCACATATTTGCACAAATGCACAATGTTTTTTATTTCTTAGCATGCCATTATTTATGAATATACATACAGAAACACTTGGAATCTTTACCTTTTAAACTTGTCTGTACATATTTGAATATAGAAAACAATGTACAGACTGAATATTTTAGCAATGTTTATCAATATGCAGGAACATCAATATTTTTCTTAGGTGAGTACCAAATAGAAATGACATTAAGTTGAATCCAAAATGAATCATTTGAAGCAGGACATTTTTATAAATGCATTTGATATTTATACTTATCTTTATTTTATGCTTGTTGAAATTAGCAAGAATAACACCGACCAGCATAGTCAGAGGAAGAAATAATCCAATGATAATAAAACCAATAAAGTAACAATACATGTAGATATTCACTTCAAAATCAGGCTGCATATGTACCTAAAAGTGAAGTTAAAAAATAAACAAGATGAGGGAGAGCAAAGAGGATTTTTAGAGCAGTGAAAATACTCTATATGATATTGTAATAATGGATACATGTCACCATACATTTGTCCAAACCCATAGAATGTACAACACTGAGTGAACCCCAGGGTAAATTATGAACTTTGATTGATTATGACATGTCAATATAGATTCATTCTTAGTAAAAAATATACTATTCTGGTGAACGATGTTAACAATGAGAAGGCCATGCATGTGTGGAAGAAGGGGGTATGTGGGAAATATTTGTACCTCCCTCCCAATTGTGTTGTAAACCTAAAACTGCACTAAAAAGAAATTCTTTAAAAGTAAAAATGTATAAAAAGTGAAAAAATAAGGAAAATATTGATACTTTTTAAAACATTAAAAATATTGACTTTTTAAAACATTAGATTTATAAAATAATTTCTGACAAGAAAAACCAACAATGCTACTTGAGGTATGTTTCCTCTTTGATCATTGGTGAAGAGATATCATTGCTTTGTTTACTGGATTTTAAAGTGTATTGTACTGGTTTAATAATTTTTATGAAGTCTGATAATCCTTCAAGTGGGCCTATTGGGCCTCAACCATTGTATATAATCCTGAAAGGATTTCATTGTCCATGCAATACTCAATCTGAACAGTATTTAACTTTTGTCTAGCATAAGTATTTGCTTTTAACTGTTAATTATTGTTCTTGCTGGTGCCCCGTTCTTAAATTAGAAAAATGACTTTGCTTGAACTATAACAATGACTTTAGGATTATATTGTACTTACACCAGTGGAATCAACAGCTGAATTCATAATATCAATCCATCCATTAAATGTTGCCTGTAAAAACGGCATGTGTTTAATTCTTAGGGAAATTTTACGCTTCATGGCAAATTAAAGTAAAACTCAATTTGTTACTAATATAGTAAAACATTTGATTAGTAAGACTGACCACACTTCAATATATTGTGTAACTGAGATTCCTACCATTTTCATTATTACATTTATGTTGTCTGTCAACAAATATTTAAAACTACTTAGTGTAACTGTAGTTGGTAACTTAAAATATTTTAAGATAGTATAAATAGAAAGGCAGAGATATAGGTAGAGAGATAGGTAAATAGTAAATAAATACATGCTGCTCAGGTATCATAGTTACTTGTAACTGCTATTACACGTGCTTTTCTATGGGGGAGCCAAGACAAGAATGGTTCACCTCCTCACATCTGCTAGATGTTGGGTGACTGAGCAGCCATTCTTCAAAGCACTAAGTAGAAATAAAACTGTAGTAACCTGAGTTGGACCAAAAATTGTGACCCTAGTACATGATCAGTGATGGAAGCAGGTTTGGCCAGCACCTGCCATTTACCCAGTCAGTCCTGCCTTCATCTCCCCTGCCTTCTCCAAAAAGTACAGGCACTGTTTCACTTTTGTTTTCCCAAATGAACTTATTTGTTTATAACATGTATCTATAAACAAATAATAGCTAACATAATTTCTAACCAATTCTGTTAATCATCCACATTTTGTCCTTATGTTTACCTACAATATGGATGCACATGTAAAAGATAATAAAATCAAAAGCATACTTACTACTTGAAGCAATGAAAGGAAACCATTTCCAACATTATCAAAGTTCAGTTTTGCATTCTCCCATGGCATGGATTCATTGAATACAAGACTTTCACAGTCACTCTTATTCCTGACTTCATATGTAGGAAATCTTTCTCCACTTGTTGGGTCAATGCATTCATAGAATGTGCCAGCAAATAAGTGTACTCCTATGATGCTATAAGCCAGCCAGATCATAAGGCAGACCAGAAACACATTCAAAGCCGGTAAAGTTGTTTTCATCAAAGCTCTCACAACCACCTGGCATATAAAAAGCAAACATGTAAACTTTAGGTAAGAAATGTGAAACTATTTTGATTAAATTGGAAATGCTAAATTCATATTGAAATAACAAAAAAGAGCTATCTTTAAAGATTTAATAGGCCACACACATGAATAACCAACATAAAAAATGTCAATTAAAAATATACATGAAAAATCCAGATATTCTCAAAATGTTTTTTAGTAAAAATAATCATTAAAAGAACAACAGAGCTATTTAGTATAAATGCTAGAATAAAGAATTATTTTACTAATTTAACACACGTGTATCAACTATTGTGCGAGAAATGGGTAAGACGAGTGAACCTGTATACATGTATAAGATTATCCAGAAAGCATATGAGGCTCTGGCTGGGTAGCTCAGTTTGTTAGAGCATCATCTTTTTGTTGTTGTTGTTGTTGTTAATCCTTACCGCAGGATATTTCTCAATTGATCTTTTAAAGAGAGTGGAAGAGAGAGGGAAAGACAGAGAGAAATATCAATGTGAGAGAAACACATCGATTGGTTGCCTCCTGCATGTGCGCTGACCAGGGCCCAGGCTGGGGAGGAGCCTGCAACCAAAATACATGCCCCTGACCGGACTCGAACCAGGGACCCTTTGGTCCACAGGCTGACTCTCTATCTACTGAGCCAACCAGCTAGGGATAGAGCATCATCTTGATATGCCAAGGTTGATGCCGAGGAGGAAACCAAGGCTGACACCAGGTTGTGGGGTCAATCCTCAGTCAAGGCACATATAAGAATCAATCAATGAATGCATAAATAAGTGGAACAACAAATCGATGTTTCTCTCTTCTCTCTCTCTCTCTCTCTCTCTCTCTCTCTCTCTCTCTCTCTCAAGCATCTAAAATGAGAGTAAAATAGGACCAGACATAATTGTTGGGGATTCTAACCTTCAGGAGGAACAGCCTATCTAGGAGAAAGTAAAGAAGTGGCAGAGGACATAAAAGAAGACCAAGAGATTGTAGCTCAATGAAGTCAAGTCAAAAGAGTGTTCCAAGAGACATGAATAAGCAGTTAGTCTCACAAATTCACAAATCACTTCACAGAATCACTCTATGTCACTGGTGAGATACTCCAGAGTGGAAAGTTTGGGAAGTGAATTCACTACCTAAACTTAAATAACAAAAATAGCCTATAATCCTGCCTTCATTTCCTCAACTCCCTTCATTCTTTAATATTACAATCAGCATTGTATTTATTCTTAATCAGTCCACTAATGCTGGTATGGCAAATGTAAAACCAGTTGTTATATCCAATAGAAAATTTTCAATCTTTGCTATAGAGAGAAACATCAATGTGAAAGAGAAATATCAATGGGTTGCCACCCATACTCACTCTGACCAGGGATCAAACCTGCAACTCTTTGGTGCACAGGATGATGCTCAACCAACTGAACAACTCAGTCAGTACAATCTTTGCTATTTATCTTTCAGTTACCATTTATACTTTTGACTCCCTTCCCTCAAAATCACTTATTTGTCCTTTTTTCTGAGTCACCATTGATTTTCTTTTCTACCAGTCTACCCTTTCCTTCCCTCAGTCATTACTGGATACATATACATTTGTCTGTACTTTCTTGCTTATATTCCTTAGTTTTCTGGGCTTGAATTAATATCTTGACTTTTAATTATATTTTCAAAAAGACTTTATTTATAAAACTAAGTCACAAATCCTTTGTTGACACTTTAGGTATTTTGATAGGCCCACTGATGCCTCTGATGAAAAAATGCTATGCCTGTTAATAATTGCACATATGTAGGAATAAAAGCCATGGATATAGTTGACCCAAATATTTCAACAGCGGGGGCATCAAGATCCAAAATTCATTAAATACATAAAATATTAATTTTGTAATAATGAAGCTTCCTTATATACTCAGTTATATATCTTCAGAGATCATTCAACTACAGAATTTCCAGAGGTTTCAATGAAGCTTAAAATCTAGAACTGACCTTGATCTAAGAATGGCTACTACTAGTATATACCTGGCCTTGAATTGTCCATGGCTACAATCTCACTGCCATTCTAAGGAATCTTTGGCATCAAATATTAGAGTGCTTAATTTACAACAAGCAGAGGAAGCTTCCCTGGCAAATATCTTCCTTCTTTTCTCTAAATTAGATGCAGGCAATTTGCTAATAGAGGCACTCTTCATCCCATGAATCTAAATTTATTAGAGAAAAAAACAACCCTGGTATTATCCCATAACATTTCTTACAGTAACAAAGTTTATTTTAGTTGCATTAATTAACATCTCTCTGTGTGTTTCCCAGCTTCATGGAGGTATAATAGACAAATGAAAGTTGTATATGTTTAAGGTATACAAAGTCATGATTTGGTATATGTATACATTATAAAATGATTCCACAATCAAGCTAATTAACCACATCTAGTTCTTTTTTGATTGTGGTGGTGGTGGTGAAAACACTTTAGATCTACTCTTGGAAACTTTCAAGTATACAGAATAATATTATCAACTGTATATAGTCTCCATGCTGTATATGAAATCCCCAGACCTTATTCATCTTATAAATGAAAGTTTGTGCCCTTGACCAATATCTCCCTTCTGTAATCCCCACCCCACAGTACTCGGAGTTAACAGGTCATGTGTAGTTTACAGCCCTGGCATATTCTATAAACATTTTCTATGGCTGTTTATGCTGGAAATTTAGTTATCTTGTTATTTTGACCTCAAGCTCATAGACCTCTTTAACCACATTTTACTTTTCAGCTTTTTTTCCTCCTTATTTTGGTTTAAAAGCAAACCATTGGGGATAATACCACCTTGTGGGCCTCTATAATGCTGTTAATAAAATGTTTCATAAGTTAACCAGGGACATGAATCATTGTATTAGTTATTATTTAATTATTAATGATGATCCCATAATTCTCCTTTGCATATTCCTAGAAACTGAAAAAAATTACTGCACCAACACAAAGCCTAACCTCAGAAAAATTAACTAGGTGACTTACATGAAAGAAATATCAAATTCTACAAAACTCAAGGTGATTTTCTTCAGGTTTAACAGGAGACAATTATAGTTCCTCTTCAAAGGCAACTTGAGCCTAAGTCTAAAATTCAATTCTCAAGTCCCTAAGTCATGACCTGCATTTTACTAACAACCGTGTATCTGTATGTTTTTAAAGATCATACCAAACATTTATGATCAGTTTGCATAGAGACATTTTTTTCTAGGCTCAATTCATAGTTAACAATGAAAACATTTCTAAGAGATATATCTGCATAGCAGAAAATCATATTTAAACTTGCAGAAATACATTCAGTGAAAACAGAGGAAACTCTGATCTTTAGTAACATGGGAAATGGCAATGGTTCTGGTGAAATAAGTGGCAAATTCTGTAAAGAGCATGTTATGAAATTTCAGTCTCCAAACACAGAGGGTCCCAGAATAACCAAGTAACTGCAGGGCTGAAGGGAGGTGAGCCATTCCTGCCTGGAATAAGGTTTCTATGTTGTACATCAGCTCCTCATGCCCCTCAAAGATGGGAGTTAGTCTTCTAGTCATCTTCCTGGTAAAACCAAAAGAACTTCCAAGATTCATTCTTGCCTTGTCAACATGTAAGTTCTCAAATTCAAAATTTTTCAGCTCTTCAACTACAGCTCAGACCCAGTACATGTTGTGTGACTTCTGGCTCTCATCTCCTAAGAAGAGGGAAATGCTCCTCCCAGGAACCCAGGGAATCTACAGCTACCTATGGTCAACTTCTCTGTGCTGTCCAGCTCCTGGCCCTTCTCGGGGTCCCGGCTCCGCAGGGCTGTGAGGGGGCTCTGCTCCAGGCACCAGTGTGACACCAGGCCCATACTCCCTGCAGCAGCATCTGGGGCACGGTCCCCGCCTCTGGAGTGCCAGGGCAAGGAGGACAAGGAAGAGGATGCCAGGAGTAAGAGGGAGCTGAGTCCCAGGAGCGTCTGTTAGGAGGCATCACCCCGCCTGCTCCTGCAGCAGCAGGGGACCCCTTTCCCGCGGGGAGCAAATGGGACCCTGCGACGCAGGGTGGACCCCTGCTCTCCTCTGCCGGCCTCCGGACTCCAGAGACTCCGTCTGGGAGCAGCACAGGTTGGGCATTTGATCCAGGAAGTGTTGGTTCACAATCTTTGGCGTTCCCCGGGTTGAATTCAAAACTGTCCCCCTCACACAGGTTTGTTTGACAAGCAAGGGAACCTCGGAACAAGGCTAGCAGATTTCTGCCGAAAATATTTTATCTCAACTATTTGCTTATTTTTATTAGTTTTCATCTTAGGAACAATAAAGACCTAAAATCCTAGTAAGCAAAGCTAATACACTCTTCTTCTGTACTTTAAGTAGAATATAGGGTTTTTGTATTAATATTGTTAAAGATATAAATGAGAAGATTACAAAACTTTACCTATTTGGAAAGTTAGTAATTTTAAATTAAAAGTTATAGATTAGTTTAGGAACGTTTCTCTTACCTTCATTCTTTCAAATTGAGATAGAACTCTAAGTGCCCGAAGGAATTTAATGGACGTAAGCAGTTTTAGTTCCTGAGATTTGCCTATTAAGTTCAGACAAAATACCTAGATATATGAAAAATAAATAATTAATGGGTTTAGTTTTAACTTTAACAAAAACAATCTATAAAATAAACTTATCATTTATTAGAAAAAGATACATAGTCAAAGCCTACCAAGAAATATGCAAAAGCTTTACCATATATTTCAATACATCTTAACAATGACTTATAGAAAGGTGTAAGAATATCATTTTGTGTTAAAATCACTTAAAGGATTTAAAGATATCTTCTGGTAATAGTACATGTTACTAAAATAAATAATATATATTGTTTATTATTTATTATAATTTATCCTTTATTATAATTAAGGATTAATACTTATATCCATTTTTTAGTTTGTAATTAGATTAAAAATCAGTTTCATGATTTTCAATATAATTATAGTATACAATGTATTTGTTGAAACAAAATTTTGAATATATTTACATGTTCCTCTGTATATAAATATAGTTAAGACAATTTACAGAATTAGATTTTAGAGGAAAGGCATCAAAAAAGATATAAGCACAAAGAATAGAAATATGGTAAGGTTATTTTTCAAAGTAAACATATTTGCATAAAATGATTAGAGGTTAATAAATGTTAATGGAGATTGAGCAAGGTGGAAGAATTGTGATTAACTTTTATTGTGCCTTCATATTTTCTGTAATTACAAGGCAACATAAATGAAAAATGTGGAAGCCAGAATATCAGTTTGGAAGCTATTGCAGTGACCCAAACGACAATTTCTGGCTGCTGGCATCAGTGTGGTACTGGTGAAGGAATGCATATGTAGTCTCATTCTGAAAATATAATTTAAAAGTTGAGCAAATAGAATTTAATTATTGTAGGATGCTGATAATTTCAAAATACTATGCAATAAGCCTATTTTGTTAACAGTGAGTACATAGGTGACTGTTAGAATAATCAAGAAATGAAGTGCTGAATTTTAAGTTTTAGAATGAGAAGGAAAGGATAAATATTAAACACTACAAATGAAGAAATATGGGATGTTGGTGACTAAAAATGTATATAGAGAGGTAAAGGAAGATACAAGTAAATGGAACAGTAAAAGAGTAAGAGTAACGAAGCAACAGCAAATCAAATAGCTTTAAAATTTTGTTTTACATACGTACAATAACAACCATGAAGTCCAGCCTGTGCCAGCCATTAGTGAAATAGGCTTTAAAACCATATGCCATCCACTTCAGAAGCATTTCCAGAATAAAGATGTAAGTGAAGATCATGTCAGCATATTCTAATAAGATTTTAATAGTTTTTCTTTGATTGATATATATATCTTCAAAAGCCTATGGGGAAAAAATTTACAGATTAGTATACATTTTTCACATGAGGGGAATGGAATGCCATCTCCAAGAAGCAGATGGTGAGCAAACTCAAAAATTGTAGTCTCATTGTAGTCTCAAGGGCTGGTTCACTTTTCTTGCATTTATTCACATAACCCATAAGTATCATTTTCTGATCCAATGCCTGTAACAGACATCATTAATTGATCCTAGAACCACTTCTTATAGAGTTTGAACCTGGCCTCATAATTGTTCTAAATAGTGACCATATCAGTTAATCAAGGCAGTATTTTCAGTCACATCCAATGTGGCTCTTATCTCTAATTCCATGTGGCCAACACACAGATATATGCATTGCTAATAACAAAGCAGATATTGGGTTTTAAATGTTTTTAGAAATCCATAGTGTTATTGTAAGAAAAAGTCACAAAGCTTGTTTCACTGCAGGAATAATCAGGTATACCAGTTAACACACACAAATATGAAGTAAAACTATAATAGTTTCTCTAAAGCTTCTCAGTTTTAAAAGGTCAACCTTGGTTTTTCTATGGAGGATGCAAAGTTTAATAATGACATTTAAAGCAATTTCATAGTGCTTTTATTTTAGCACTGACAAAAGGCAACAAAGTACTAATAATCTCAGGTAGACTTGTATCAAAGTAAATTCAAGGTTAAAAAGTAAACAAGGATTAAAATAATCTTATTCAAAGAATGGTGTGATTCTCATAAACCTACTGTTAAAAGTAAATATAAAATGACAATAGAATTACTGACTTAATTGAACTAATTACAGAGTAAAAGTGTCTATAAAAGCAAATTATTATAAGTATCATCTAAAATTATTTTAAAGGACTTTATTACTAGAGGCCTGGTACACAAATTCGTGCACGGGTGGGGTCTGGCCAGCCCGCCCCAATCGGGGCTGATCGGGGCAAGCCAGCTGGGGAGAGGGGGCACAGGAGGTTGGCTGGCTGGCCACAACCCCAATCGGGCAGGTTGGCCAGCCATAGTGTGCATCATAGCAACCGGTTGTTCTGGTCAACCAGTCGCTTGGCTTTTATATATATAGATGTGTATTTATTTTTTGAGTAGGCGTATAATGCAAAACAATATGATAAAATGTACAGAAGTCTCCACTTTAATTTAAAAATTTAAAAAACAGGCAAAGCTAATCAATGGCAGTTGAATTGCACATACTGGCTACTCATATGGAGTGGGGAAGTGACTGTGGAGGATCAGAATGTGGTTCTGAATTCCTGGTAATGTTCTGTTTCTCAAGCCAAGTGACAATAACACAGGTGCATTTACTTTGAAAATCCTTTATACTGTACAATTATAATTTGTATGGTTTTCAGAATGTGTAATAAATGTCAATATAAAGTATACTTAAAAACATATGCACTACAAAGTATGGTTCCCAACCATGACTTTATCTTCTCTATCCTGTGCCTCTCACAGTTAACTGTTTCTTATGCATTCTTCTCTGATCTTCTTCAATCAAACAAAGCAAATAATATACATTCTATTTCTCTTGTTTTCCTACCTAAAATGTAGCATGTCATACACTTTATTCTAGATCTTTTTTTCACTTCTTACCATATTTTGCAATATCAGCATGCATATAGCTCCTGCACTTTTTAAATAGCTGCACAGTATCCCACTGGATGATAATCCCATAAACACCTATTATGGACTATTTTTGCTTTTCAATCCTTTGCTACTATTAAAAAATTATCCTGTGAATAGCTAGAGGTACAGGACACACAGAGTCCAGATATGCTTGTCTGAAAGATTTTAGGAAAGTAGAAGCATGAACCAAGACAGACCATTCATGTGGTAAAGCCACTGGAAATGCGTTGGGTGAGGTGAAGTCTCAGGGAATCACCAGGGTGGGGCCAGGTTGATGGAGACTCAGATATGGTCCCTGCCTGCTGGCTGTCAGGGAGAGGCTCTGAAAAGGAACAATGGCCTCTTCCAGTACTTCTGGCTGGGAAAAAGCTGTCCCTCCAGCTCTTGCCCTGATGCTGGACAATTCAGTTCCTCTCTGTATGTCCCTGATGACTTTGAAGGTGCTCCCACAGTGCAGGAGCTCAGAATGAATGAGTATAAGTCCATGCATGGACCCTTTAAGACAGTGGTCGCCAACCTTTGGACCTCACAGACCACCAGCGGTCCGTGGACCACCAGTTGGTGACTGCTGCTTTAAGAGAAACCCCAGGGACTTCAGCAGTCTTCTTCCTCACCCAGCCAAAATCCCCACTGGTTTTTATAGCCAGAAGTTATGGGAACTTCTCTTCCTGGCAGTGGAACCCTGGGCTGGGGGGCCTGGTGTGGAGCTTGGAACCCTGGTTCCTCAGGGGATTCCCTCCACAAGCCACGATTTCCCTCCCAATTTTTATCCGCCACACTTGGGTGTGGAACCAGCCCATTCAGCATCTTTATCCCTTCTACCAATCTCAATATGTCTTCTTCTTTATAGCATTAGCTGTAGGACTTCTGTTTAGCTACATTTCAGGCAGTTCTGAATGATGGTTGTTCTGTAGTGTAGTTGTAATTTTGATGTGGTTGTGGGAGAATGCAAGTACCGAGTTTACCTGTGCCACCATCTTGACAGGAAGCCTAAACTTTGTTTCTTATATGAAACTTCATTAAATAAGAAGAATTAAGTGTCTTTTAACACTCCTTTTCCCCACTGTCATTCATATATTTGGAATTGTATTATTTATTTAATATTAAATGATGCCTATACAGATTTTAAAGAAATTATAATGTATGTCTTTAAAATCACAGATTATGAACTATGGTGGTATAATAATAAGTATTAGGGGGGAAACTAATTTGTTATGGTGACTTTACAAATTAACAGACTTCTGATATACTTTTCCCGTAAAAGTCTCACATACCCTCACTTACCAGAGCACCTGTGCTGAGCAAAGTGACAAGGCCAATGAAACACTTAAAAAAACTGTTTTCTACAATCTTGCAGCAGGTTTTCCTTATGTTTCGCCAAATTTTTCCTCTCTTGGATTCTCTACTAATTTGACCTGGTGAAGATCTTCGTTCATAACCTGTCAAGAATAAAACTGTTAAAAAAAATCTTGACAACTCATGAAATAAATAAACATCTCAAAGTTTCTACCATGTGCTTTACAGAATCTAATATAGGTGGTCTCTGACTTACAAGCATTTGATTTTTACCCCTGCTGTACTGAACACTGCAATCACTGAGGAAAAAACATAAAAACTTAACTTGTGATTTGGTAATTAAAAGAAATTATGAAAGGCAGAGATGACTCAGCACATTCCCTAAACCTGCAGGACAAAGTCTGAGAGTAGAATTTATCCCCTACTAGTACTACTACTTCTACAAAAAAATTTTCTTTTAATCACACACATAATGAAGTATGGTACCTATTTGCTTTGTTTAACAATGGACAGGTTATTTTGATTTTCTGAATTGTATAAATCATCCCATTCGATTGAATGCCTTATTGATTGAATGACTATCCCATTGATTGTGATCTTACTGGTTATCGAAGCACATTCTTCTGTACCTGGGAAACAGGACAGCACAATTACCCTAAATTGTTTTAGTGGCCACAGGTGGTGCGTTCCACCTGACTTAGTGGTCCCGAGGCCAGAACAGCACAATTACTCTAAATTACCTCGATGGCTCTAGATAACGTGTTTCTATCAACTCAGTGATCCGGAGACCCAGAACTGTAATTTAGATAACATGTCTAAGTTTAACCCAGGTTACCCAAAGGCTCTAGATAATGTATTTCTGTCAATTCAGTGACCCCGAGACCTGAAACTGTAATTAACATGCTTAATTCTGCTTCTGTAATCTGCTTTTTTTGCGAGCCAGGTGCCTCATTCCAAACCCTGGGATGTAATCAATACCTTTGTGATTTTTGCCTATATAAGTCTGGTTTTGCCACCATCTTATTACTATGAGATTTGGGAATGACCCCTCATAGTCCCGGATTGCAATAAATGTGACTCTTTAATTCGACTTCTTGAGGCGTCCTTCTGTGATTCGCGGGGTACATTACAACAATACAACATCTTCTGAATATCACATTGATATAACACCTGAAAAGGCATTCTCTGGAGATTCCCATGGCATAACAAGTATTCCCATTTAAATTCGCAAATATTTATTAAATGTCAAGAGGTATTAATATCAGTTAAATTGATTTCAATTCTTAGACAGTATGCAAATGGGAATTTTGTTTGAGATTAGTTGAGGAGCTAACCTAGATGATGGAGTACTTTGTGAGTAGGGCACATGTGCATGGGTTTTGAACTCTATTTTCTGGTCAAGAGAGTTAGCATAAGAAAACCTAAGGAGAAGAGAGTGATTAACCTGTAAAAAAAAATGAGGAAATGGTGATGGGTGGAGTTTAAATCAACACTTACTCTTTTAGAATTTTACCTAATATCAATGTATATGTCTTTGGTCAAATTTAAAAAAAGGAAATAATTCTTCCCTTGTTTTGGATGAAACAAGTCCTACAACTCAGCTACTAAGAGCAGATGCTTATTTTGAGTATAGAAATTTGAGCATTTAGCAGTTTCCATTTTGATGATGTCCAGTCATTTCAAAGGACTAGAACCTGTAGCCATGTGTTAATCTTCCTAGGAGACTACTTTTAATTATAAGTCATTAAGAGATGTATGTTACATATCTTGTGAGTCAACCAACTGAAGCCTTATATTTTTCTTAATATTCATGTGGAATGTAAAAATATATCATTATTACATGATTTGTTTTTCTATGAAAGTTAAGGATGCTTTCATATGAATATTTAAATGTTGACTCCATTCCACAAAGCATAAAAATACATATACACATAACCCTAATTCAATTTTTTTAACAATCCTATAAAATAAGTTTTGTTATTACCTTCTTTTTACATATAAGGAAATGAGTCAGAGAGAGGGTAAAAGTAGAACCTTGGGATTTGAATTCAGGCTCTCTGATTCCAGAGCCCACACTCTTTTTTTAATAATTATTTTTAATTTTTATTGATTTCAAAGAGGAAGGGAGAGGGAGAGAGAGACAGAAACATCAATGATGAGAGAATTATTCACTGGCTGCCTCCTGCACCACTAGGGACTGTGCCCGAAACCCTGGCATGTGCCCTTGACTGGAATTGAAACTGGGACCTTTCAGTAGGCAGGCTGGCGCTCTATCCACTGAGCCAAACGAGCTAGGGCAACAGCCCACACTCTTAACTCCTGCATTAGATTCCCTAGAAAGTAGCCCCATTTCCTTTTTTCCAAATGTTGACTTTTTTCTTGATATTTATTTTAGTTTTCTATCAGGATTCAGATGGGCATGTGCACACATGTGTGTGCACACACACTGTGTGTATCCCTTAGCCAAATTAATAAGTTTTCTACAATTAAAAATATATCCAATAGTATTATTTAGGTTAAGAGAAACTTAGTCTAATCTATACTAATAGATTGTGAGAGGTTTAAACCAGCAGTCGGACATCCCCCGAGGGGTCCCAGATTGGAGAGGGTGCAGGCCAGGCTGAGGGACAACTCCCCCCATCCCCGCTCTGCTGCCCATGCATGAATTTCATGCACCAGGCTACTAGTTGCAGTATAATATCCAAAGGAAATTTTTCTTACTGTTTTTAGGATGCTTTGGCTTCTCATGTTCATTGATCATTTCTTCTTCTTCAGAGATAGCAATATCAACTGTACTGCATTCAGATGAGCTAGATGGCTTCACCTTCTGAAAAGGAAAGTCCCACCAAAAATGTTAATAAAGTTTCATTCACTCACTGTAGTTACAGTTTATCTCATTTTTAGAAATAAGAAAATTATGCACATGAATACCATTATCAGGTTTAAAAGATTTTAGGCCAACTTCATGATTAATATTAAAATGTGTATATATCTCTGTGATTGATGGTGTTAAAATTATTTTAAAAATTAATTTAAGATAAAATAATTTTTAAAATTTAATTGACTTTTATTTTTTATTTTATTTTTTCCATCACCACTTCAAAAAGAAAAAAAAGATAAAATGCATTTTAAATTAAAATTGACATTTAGTTAATAACACTGTTCTCCCAAATGATGTATAGGCTATCTCCAATTTCCAAAAGGATTTGCGTTCCAAAGTTTTCTTGAAGTTATTCACAAATTTTCCAGTATGCTATTTCAATTAGATGAATAACATCAGAATAAATCACCCCTTGATGCTAAAGATGGGCAGACAAGGGTGTACTTAGTATTTACTGTAAAATCCAGTCCAGACATTCTTAGGTATTTCATCATACAGTGAGACTGATGGAGGTTATCCTGAAGTGAAATGACGAAATGGCACAAGGAATAGGGTCAATAAGAGACCTGGGAAAGTGGTACCAGGACTATGTAAAGAGGCTAGTTGCAGAGATTGACATTTCCCCCAACTCTATTCTTGACTGAAGTTCAAGACTGGCTAGGATAAGGCAGTCATGACTTTGTACATGTGGTAACAATGCAAGTGCCATGCTTGTCCTCTACTGAAAATGATTTCCCCACAATGCTTTCTTGCACCTTACTGAAAAGTGGACATACAACATATCATCTTTTAAAATGACCAAGATCCCAAAGTTAATAGCATATCAAATCATTTTCTAATTTTAAAAATGAAAATACGTGTTTAAAACATTTGGAAGAAAATCAATCTTATTTCTTAAAAATTAAGGAAAGCTCTAGTAGATTATGTAAAAAAGGAAATTATAAATATTTTGTCCTCTTATGCACAAAAAATGTTAATCAGTATAATCAGGAAGCTTTGTTTGCTTAAACTTTAATGGCAATTGTCAGTAAGACAGCATGGTGCTCAATTTAAAAAATATGTTCAACTGAATATTCCTCTTAAATAAATCATTTTTATAATTTCATTTCTCTTAAATTTCCTTTATTTCTGATTAACTAAAGGCTATAGCCATGCACTGATTTAGATGAAGACAATAAACAAATTAATATTATATTTATGTTTTTTTAGAGTTCTTAAAACCATTGCACCTAAACACTTTGATGTAATTTTTTCCAAACTCCTTTTAGTATGTATTATTTTAAATTTACAAATAAATCAATTAAGATTCAAAATTATATATAATTTATTTTAGTAGAAGATTTAATGGCATGAAAAAATAGCCATGATATATTGCTACATAGTGAAAAGTTATAAAACCCAATTTAAAGTTTGATGTTATTGTTATAAAATTTAGTTACATATTTGTAATTTAAAAAGTTGAAAGTTTAAATTCCAAAGAAATGAGAGTATATATCTCTGGATTACCAAATCACATGTGATTTTTATATTTTATTCTTTGGCACTTGGTATATCAACATCCTAGGTACTCATGAGCTATGTAATCTGGAAAGTAATTAAATTAAATATGTAACTAAAAACATACAAATATGTGAACAAATCTATGAGTAGCTAACCAATCAATAGAACCAAATAAGTATGCAGCATAAATTACAAACTTCTGCAAACTCAACATATCCAATTATATTTCATTTCTTCCTTCCTTTACCTCTTTATATCACAGACTTTTTAATGAGATTTGGAAAGGAGTTTCCAAGAACATCTTTATATGATGTGCTGTGATAAATAGAAATTTTGCCCAGAGATGGATGATAGTCAAAGTCTTAAGTAAAGATATAGAATTGTGCTGGAGAGGAATTTTCTCTGTTTTTTTTTCATAATGGTATTATTTTTTTAAAAAAGAAGAAGAACCTGAGCCTGGCTGGTGTGGTTCAGTGGTTGAACATTGACCCATGAACCAGGAGGTCAAGGCCCATGCAGGTTTTGCGGGCTTGATCCCCACTAGGGGGCATGCAGGAGGCAGCTGATCAATGATTCTCTCTCATCATTGATGTTTCTATCTCTCTCTCTCACTCTCCCTTCCTCTCTCTGAAATAAATAAAAGCATACTTAAAAAAATATTTTTTAAAAAAAGGAATCTGAGAGCCCGGCCGGCTTGGCTCAGTGCTTGAGCATTGACCTATGAACCAGGAGGTCACGATTCAATACCCAGTCAGGGCACATGCCTGGGTTGTGGGCTTGATCCCCAGGGTGGGGAATGCAGGAAGCAGCCGATCAATGATTTTATCTCATCATTGATGTTTTCATCTCTCTCTCTCCCTCTCCCTTCCTCGATGAAATCAATAAAAATAAAAATAAAAAAGGAATCTGAGATTGAGTATGCTAAAGAGTGAAAGTTTCTTTAAAACGAAGATGCCTTTACTAAAAGCTAGAAACCATCTGAATAATTGAAATTGAACCCCTTCTATAAGGCCAGTTTCAGAAGTTATTGCCCATGGTGGCTGCCAAGCCAGAAGAGGTTTGGAAGATAAGATGGTGCTTTGGGGCCCTGTAAAGAGACATTCGTTGCCTCTCTCTCCCTGGTGTCTATGAGAAATCTGAGAGGAGTCCCTCGTGAGTTTCAATGCAAAAAGCCCACAGTGCCATTGTGATCTAGGTAGATTGTAGCTTTCTACTAAACTATATCTCCTACTAAGACATTATGCTGCTTTCAAATGAATACAGTAAAACTGTATCCAGTACGATGTATGTACACATGTGAAAAGCAAGTGAACAGCAATATCTACCCTTCTTTTAAAGTTTCCCCCTTTTTTTTTTGGTCCAGGAGTTTATAAAGCTACAACTGTTCCCAAATCAAACCGTTGGTTTCTCTCTATTCATTAGTCCAATTTAATTACATATGTTATAAAATATGTTGCAGAAATGAACTGACAAGAATCTTACAATTTTAGCAAGCAATAATGTATCTTAGCGTGTTGTAGTCCAATCTCACAATTTAAAGATGCCTAGAAGAGTTTAATGATTTCTCCAGTAGTACAAATTGATTTTGAAAATTTAGTTTTCTTCAGTATGCTCAACATCACCCCACACTGCCTGTTTACTAATATATATATTATTTTATCATGATATTATCCAATTTTTGTGAAGTGCTTACTATATTATGGGCATTGTTATATGCACTACTGTTCTTAATCTTTCTATCTTTTATTATTTTTTTCTTTTTTAATATATTTTATTGATTTCAGTGAGGAAGAGAGAGGGAGAGAGATAGAAACATCAATGATGAGAGAGAATCATTGATTGGCTGCCTCCTGCATGCCCCATACTAGGGATCAAGTCTGCAACACCTTCATGGACCAGGACCTGAGAATAGAACAGTGACCTTTTGGTTCAGAGGTCAACGCTCAACCACTGAGCCAGTCTGGCTGGGAAATCTTTCTTTCTATTAGAAATAGATACAATTTTATCCTCATCGATAAACTGAAGTTTATAAAGTTTAAGCAGCTTGATCAAGATCATAAGATCAGGAGTAAAGAGTGCTATTGCTAGGATTGAATGGGCAATATAACTCTGGAACTTCAGTGCTGATTCACCTTCATATCAACAATGCCCTAAATTAATAATAAGCAATCCAGATATTGAAATATCTTACCTCTTTGCTGCTGCCGTAACCTGACTTGCTCTGAATCTCCTTATTATCCAGATTTTCTATATCAGATTCTCCGGAAGCAATTGGTACAGTTTCAGAGGCACTAGGACTGGGGATAAGTGACTCACTCTCATTTTCAGTCACTGTGGTTTTCTCTGTGCCACTGCTTTTTCCCTTGTCCTTGAGGACACCTTCAGTGTTGCTCAATTCAGAAAGAGTATGGCCAGAAATATTCTCTTTAACATGTGTGTCATTTACATTGTCCACTGTGTCCTTGGGAACATTTAGTCTTTTACATAATATTTTAGAAAGCACATAGCATATCCCTTTTTTAATTCTTGCCATTGCACACTGGAGATTTTTGGCTTCTTCACTCTCTGCATGCGTTGCAGCATTGCATGAGCTAAAGGAGAGCACCAAAGCCACAAACAGGTAAAGTATCTAAAAGAAGAAGTAAATGAAGTTAAGTGAATCTCATTTTTTCACCTGAGATTTGTAGTATTAACTACAATACTATTCAGTTCTTACTCATCTAGAATGGGTCAGGTGCTGTGCTAGAGATTTGTATAGCTAGAACTCAACTGAAGGTCACAACAGTCTATGAAATATTTGTTTCTCTTTTCTAGAGGAAAAAAGGCAAGTTTTATAGATGTTAAATATCAAAGGTCACACAGATTGAATTCAAGTCTGTTTTATTTCAAAGCTTGTTTTCTTTTACTGAGCCAAGCTACCTCTGGCAAGGTGAGAAAATGAATTGCTACTCAAAGTGGCTGACTTCAGTTCTACCCCAGATGTATAATGATATCTTCTTGGATTCTGCAAACCCATAAGGAATCTCATTGGGAGGCATCTACTCCTGGTTCTGTGACCCACATCTAATATTTCTGGACCCATGCAAGCATAGGGATTTGGTAAGTTAATCAATTACTTTTAGTAATAATTTTGGCCAAATAAGAGAAATAATAGAAAAATTATTATTAATAATACTTGCAAGTTATTCAAACTCTATGATAATATATATTTTGATTTTACTATCACTAAGAAATATGATCTATGTATATTCAGTTTCCAGAGAATCAGATTTTTATCTTGTTTATAGTTATAAGGTATAGATGCTGTTTTTGGATTCTAGTGTTGAAGATTAACATCAATTATTCTCTTAGACTTAAAGTAATAATTTGAACATAATTGTCTATTATGGAAGTTTCCTCTTCTATCTTCAGATATATGAGCTTAAGAGTTAGTTCATTTTATGCTTTACATATTATTTTAGAGCACAAAGTTCAAATGGCATGCATCATGTGTAAGAATATGTATATATAGTAAGTCCTCATTTAACATCATTCATAGGACCTTGAAAACTGTGACTTTAAGTAAATTAACATAAAACCAATTTTAACATAGGCTAATAGGTATAAATAAGAGCTAAGTTCTTACAGCATATTTCTGGTCACAAAACATCACCAAACTTCTAAGTAAAGATCCAAAACATTTCTACCAGTAAACAATAAAATAAATGTGAGCTATACACACATGTAAAAAACATTAATAAAAACAAGACAATTATTTTCCAATCTGCTTATTCTACTTCAGGGTCATGGGTGGGTGGCTGAAACAACATTATGTGAATGACATTATTGAAGGAACTACTGTATATAAACTTACATAACGTTTTTCTGCCAGTGTTTCTGATTTTTTCAAACATTAAGATCTACTCTTAAAAAAGTATACTGACAATTAATCTATACTAATAAAAGGGTAATATGCTAATTAGACCGGGTCAACTGGACATCTTCCGGATGTCTGACTTTCTTCTGGACAAAGCCACAGTGGCAGGGGCTGAGGCAGAGGCAGTTAGGGGTGATCAGGCTGGCAGGGGAGCAAGCAGTTAGGACCAATCAGGCCGGCAGGGAGCAAGCAGTTAGGGGCAAGATCAGGCCAGCAGGGGAAGGCAGTTGGGAGCGATCAGGCTGGCAAGGGAGGGCACTTGGGGGCAATCAGACTGGCAGGCAGAGGCAGTTAGGAGCAATCAGGCAGGCAGGCAGAGGTTGTTAGGGGTGATCAGGCAGGCAGGCAGAGGCAATTAGAGGCAATCAGGCAGGCAGGCAGGCAGGCAAGTGGTTAGGAGACAGTGGTCCCTGATTGTGAGAGGGATGTCCAACTGCTGGCAGTCAGACATCCCCCAAGGGGTCCCAGATTGGAGAGGGTGCAGACCAGGCTGAGGGACACCCCCTGCTGCACGAATTTCGTGCACTGGGCCTCTAGTGTGTATATAAAATAAGACAAGTCTATGAAGATCTCCAAACACTCATTTGTTAAAACTTCTCTAAAGAGATGAAGTTCTCAGATACTCTAATTACTGTCCTTCTCATGCATTTACACACCTGAGAAAACATGAACTGCCCACCATATAGTGTTCAGTCCTAATGGACTGCTTGTACCTATATCTTCATATATATATATATATATATATATATATATATATATATATATATATATGAATAAAGTTCAAGTAAGATGCATATTGAAAATTAAAATATTATTGCAAATATTGCCATCACATAGATAATCATAATCTTTGCAATATTTTGGTGGAGCGATAAAATGTGGATGGCTCAAAATTGGAAATTTCTTACAGGTGATAATATCTGAACTGATAATATATTCTAGAACCTCCAATGACAGAGTCTCTGAGGGCAAACTGAAAATGAAAAACAACACATAACTGAAAATACAAGATCAAATGCCAATATCCCCTGAGATTCATGTGATTTTTCTCACACAAGTGCCTCCCTTGACAAGCTCAATGACCCTTATAGGAACTTCTCTATTAGCCTCTCTGTCATTCTCAAAGGACAATAAGTTCAGGATGTAAAAGAGCAAGACCAAATATAATTTAAGGTAGTTGGTTGTTTCTTTTTCCCTGCCACCTCCCCCCTTCGTTTGGTTAAGTATTAGGCATGGTGACAAATAAGAAAAGGGTGTTAGGTAAGGATTTCATGACTATAAGCTTCATAAGAGCAGGAACCACATTTTCTCTTAAGTAGACAACCCGCACAATGTGAAGCACAACCTTAGTGATAAACAAATACATGTTGAAAATGAATTAATTGTAGAATAAATAAAAGAATAAATTTTGTGCCAGAATTTGGACAAGGAAAATTATGCTACAACAATTATATGTTTAAGAGCTTACAATCTGAAATTTTTTATATCATGGATACACACACACAATTACCCACACACACATATACATGTGTACATATTTATATGTACTAGGAATGTCACATATGAAAATAAAGTTCAAAATACACTGGAACTTTGGGACAAATGAAGAACTTTTACACTGTAGAGTGCTTCTGCTTTATTCAAGTGAGCACTAAACTTAAAATAGCCTGGTCACTTGAAGGATTAAAAACGAAAAACAGGATGTATAAATGACCAAAGCTATGGAGGATTCAAGACCTCTCCTAATTTGAGGAGTAATAAAGAAGGGGAAAAAACATAAATTATATTATAAACTTAGGGTTACTTTTTTTCAGTCACAGTGTTATAATGAAAGTCAAACCATATATTTATTGCTTTTGGGTTAAGAGATGAAAGGTGAAGTAATATATATAAAACAAAAACAGTGGGGTCTAACTTATCAGGTTATTATTATTTTTTTAGTCTTTTGGGAAATGTACTTAATCTCTATCACTTGTGAGAAAAAAGCAAATATTTGAGTCCTGTTTTTCTCCCGTAATAAATTTTTCTTTTATAAGCCATTCCTTTATCTTAGAAAAAGTAAAAGCTACTTACTCAATTCATGTAGTACCACTTCAATGATTGTATATTTAAAAGTGAAAGCTTTCTCTCTTAGTTAATTAATGCATAACAGTTTTATAGAACATTGGTTTTCAAATTTTGCTGCACAATTTAATCAAATAAAGATTCCTAAAAAATCCTGATGTCCATGTATCAATAAAATCAGGATCTTTGGGAATGGATCCAAGGCATTATATTTTTATTAATTATACAGGTAATTCCACCATACATTCAAGTTTGACAATTAGTGTTATGCATAAGTGGTTCTTAAAATCTAATGTGCATACAAATCACCTGTGGATATTGTTAAACTGTAGATTCTGCTCCCATAGGTCTGGGTTCTGAGAGTCTGCTTTGATAACTATCCCCCACATGATGCCAATGCTACTTTGAGTAGGAAGGTTATAGACCACTGCTATCCAATAGAAATATGATGCACGTCACATTTTTCGGTAGCCACATTCAAAGCATAAACAAAAACAGTTAAAATTAATCTACTAACATTTAATTTAACTAAATTTATAAAAATATCATTTTAAAATGCAATTCAATAAAAATCATATATATGTATATATACGACCCTAATATGCAAAAAGACCGAATGGTGGAACAACGGAACAACCGGTCGCTATGACGTGCACTGACCACCATGGCGCGCTTGCAGAACATGATGGGCATCAGTCGAAGCAGGATGGTAGAGCAGGTGAGCAGGGGCACCAGACTAAGACAAGGCACCAATCGCTGTCATAGGGGCGAGCCTCTGGTGGTTACTGAAAATTCTTTGCTCCTGTGCGCCGCAGTCCTGCCTGGCGCTTATACCTGCTGCCAGTGCTGGCCCCGCCCGCACCCACTGCCTGTGCCCAACACTGGTCCTGATCACTTGGCACCATCAGCGGGTGCGAGTGGCTGCTGCTGGCTCAATTGCCCCTCAGGGCTTCTCTACCTACCCCTGCTCCTGAGGGGTGTTCAGGGTTGGCAGCTGCTACTCGCACCCGCTGCTCTCACCCACTGCTGGTGCCGACCCCCTCTCACCTGCAGCTGGTGCCAGAGCTGCTGCTGGCACCCACTGATGGTGCTGCCCTGCTTGCACCTGCTGCTGGTATTAGCCCCAATCGCTCTGCGCCATCAGTAGGTGTGAGCAGGGCTGGAGCCATCAGACCATGGGAGCTGTGGAGGCGGGGGTGGGGCTGCTGGCAGACAGGGGACTGGGGACCGCAAAGGGAGGGGCTGGGCGGGGGCGCGGAGGAGGGCTGAGACCTGCCCCTGTGCCCACTACAGCCTCATGGCCCACAGTTACTTTCAAGGTGCAAGAATTCGTGCACCAGGCCCCTAGTTACTAATAAAGTAATTTACCTACTTTTTTGGGTAAGACTTAAAATCCAGTGGATAGTTTTACACTTTGGGCATAGCTCAAATTAGACCACTCATATTTCAACTGACCAGTAGCCACATGTGGCTAGGGGGCACCACATTGGGCAGTACAGTTATAGACCACTGGAGTCCATGAATGAAAATATTAGACTATACTACATCAGCTTCCTAAGGAAAATTTTAAACCATGGGTTACTTACCAAAAGGTTTCCAATTAAAATGACCATCATGTAAAAAGGAACACAACTGAATTGGCCTGCTGTGTCAAAGCAATCCCATAGAGTCTCTACCCACTCTCCACAGAGAATCCGGAACACATTCAGAAAGGAATGGAAGAAGTCACCCATGTGCCAGCGTGGAAGTTGACAGTCTTTGTCTAAGTTGTAGATGTATGCTTTGTAACTCAAACCAAACAGCTTTGTGCCGACCACAGCAGAAAAGAACAGGAATGTGTAGAACAGCAGGATCAAGTCTTTCAGGGCCCCCAGTGACTTTATAAGAGTCAGCTTCAGAATCTCAAATGTTGGCCAGTATTTCCCCAACTTGAAAATTCGCAACTAATAGAGCAATGTAAAACACAGGAATAAGAAACAAAATACAAAAAAACTTGGTTATTATTCATTATGATATACATTTAAAATCTGTATCAGCATTATACATATTCAAATATATAGTATTTAATGTAATATTCAGTTTTGAACATTTAAATATTAACCACTAACAATTCATTTTATGGACAATTCTAATACAAAGCATACATATTCTATAACTTTTTACACACAATTCATACATATTGATCTGTCAATGCCCGTTCAATATTATGTTACAATTACTCTAGCTATATGTTTTAATATCTGGTAGGGCAACTGTCCCTTCTGTGTTGCTTTTCACACTGTATCGGGCATTTTCCCACATTCTGACATGTAGATGATATGGGAAAAAAACCTGTTATTTTCCACTGAATTCCATTAAAGGTTCTATTGTGTGTTTTCCTTTAAAAAAAAAACACATTAAAGACCAAACACAGCCGAAACCGGTTTGGCTCAGTGGATAAAGCGTCGGTCTGCGGACTGAGAGGTCCCAGGTTCCATTCCAGTCAAGGGCATGTACCTGGGTTGCGGGCACATCCCCAGTAGGAGATGTGCAGGAGGCAGCTGGTCGATGTTTCTCTCTCATCGATGTTTCTAACTCTCTATCTCTCTCCCTTCCTCTCTGTAAAAAATCAATAAAATATATTTAAAAAAAAAGACCAAACACAACATTCCAGGTTTAGTTTGAATATTTTTCTTCTTTTTACTAATGCTTTTTTAATTGGTATAGCACAGATTACCTTAACATTTTAGCCACATAAATGAACTTGGTCATCTAAAATCCACACATCATTTTTATGTGCACTATCTACTGTCCTTAACTTTCCTAGTATATATTTTGCTTTCTGGATTCAAGAGTAGGACTTTACATTTATCCAAATAAAACTTAATCATCTTTTATTCATTCTGTTACTAGCCTTTCAGATATGTTGATCCAATCTTTGATCACATTTTCTGCATTTCCCGGTCTTGTTTCTTACATAAACTTGATAACTACATCTTGTACATATTTCTCTCAGTCATTCAGTCATTAGAAAAGCTTATGGACAAGGATTAAAACAGGTTGCTCTTGATTCCTGCTTCATTCCTTCAACTTATTGCCAGAGTGTGACAATATATTACTTATCAAATGCTTAATATTTTCATAAATATCATTCTAATAACATTATTATCTTATCTAGTTTTCTTATTCTTACCATCAACCTTCTTTGCGGACATACTGATTCTGGCAGTAATTTTTATAACAACATTGTGCTGGCCTGACTGCTGTTATATAACGTTTTCTGCCCTGCATTTAGAAATAACTGGTTCCAATTCCTTAGTTACGCATTGACATTCAGCTTCTGGGGCTCTTCATTTCCTTGCTCCTTAAAACTGTCCCAGAACCCCTGGCCCTGCTTCCTAGAACTACATCTCAAATTTGTGACATATATGGCTTATTTTTTTTAATGCTTTGGTTAAATAATAGCATTAGAGACTGCATACTTTTTCCCGGGGCAGTATTAACTCATGTAATACTCCAAATGTTCCAATGGTATTTCTATTACTATTCTTTCATTTTATGTTTGAGAAAACTGAGATAAATTTTCATAAAATAAAATTTAGGTCTTGGATTCTACTTACCACCCTGAATGATCGAAAAACATCCAGTCCATGAACATTCGCTAGAAAAAGTTCTGCTAAACCAAGGAACACAATTATGCTATCATAAATATTCCAGCCTACTTGGAAATACCCATATGGATGCATGGCAATTATTTTAAAAATCATTTCTGTTGTGAAAATTCCAATAAAAACCTAAATAAAAACAAAACACATGGATGAGAATATGATTGCAATGGCTCTTTGGAACCCTCATGCACAGAAACTAACTTTTTAAAGCCACAATCCTCACAGTTCTTCTGTCAATATCTGATTAGTTTTGGAGTCTATTACAACAGACTCATACATTTTATTTAAAAATCTAATATTAAACACTGTATACAAAATCATCAATTACTTTTTAAAGCCAATCTGGAAGAAAATAAAAGAATGTTGGAGGGTAGAAAATCTTTTCATTTTGAATAGTTTCTTTTGGTATATGGAATATTTGTTAAGATATTTAATTTTTTAACTTGCAAAAGAATAAAAGAAGTACATATATGATCCAGAAATAAACAGGATGAAGCTATGAAAACTGACTTTTGAAAACTATATTGGAAGAAGTAATTTCTACCAAATTATGGTTTTGGTATCAAGTAAATGTATAATTCAAAATTAGTAGCAACATGGCTGTTTGTATGAACACCAATCAACTAACCAATAACAACTTAATAAAAGGGGAAAAAATTAAACACTATATATTTGCTTGAATGTGACTTGTTTTTAAATTCATACAAATCTGTTTTGTCTTTTGCATTGTATGGGATGAAAAAGATAGGTGAATCCCAACAACACCTTGCAAAGGATAAGCTCCAAACTAAGGCAAAGACAGGTGGTGAGAGCAGACAGGGTCAGGTGCAGTTGTAGTCAGGATTCACAATCAGATGTCAGCGAAGAACGTGTGTCTGCTATTTGACTTCTATCCTATTCTGATCTATGGGGATGTGATGCCCAAGAAAGGGTATACTTGGGAAAGGAGAGGAAAGGAATAATTTCATGACTGCTAAGCAGCTGGCGAGGAATCCCAAATTTCAATGGCTGATTTTTAAACTCTAGGTATAAACCTATTCAGTGATAAGAACATTTACAAAGCAGGGCTGGGGATGGTGAAGTGGGAAAGCATGAACACAATACTTTATCTTGTGCTTATATAATGCATTTGCAACATATTCAAGTTATGAAATAAAATAATGGGATAATGACAACTAAAAAAGATTGAAATTGCAAATGAAAGTAACATAGAATAAGAGCCTTACCAGGTTTCCAATGCTGAGAACACTGAATGTTGTTGCACTCATTGGATAACATTCCATGGCCAAAAAATATATGTTTAGAATTATGCATATAGTGAGAAAAAGATCAGAAAATGGATGCATTATAATCACATGGACAAACTCTTTCAACTTTAACCAACAGGGAGAACAATTCCAAATCAAAAAAATTTTAGCAAATTTATACCAACACAATGGACATCTCTTCTGAGATTTTTTATGCTCTGCAAGGAAAGAATAGTAAAGTGAAACTTTAGAAAATTGCCAAAGATTACTAATAAGAAATGACTTTTGCATATACTAGTAAAGAGAGGTTTGAAACTAGACTTCTGATTTGGAATTAGCAAAAAAGAGGAATATTTTATACTAATAAGCAGAGAAAAGTAAATTTCCTCTATTTTTTCATGGAAGCTGAATAAGACAAATGAAAATGAGACAAACTGTCTAGTGGAAGAAAAACATAGGAGTATCTGTCAAAACAACAAATATGGAATATAGCTGAGAACATTAAAATTTATAATTCCTAGATTTATATACTTTACCAAATAATGCCCTTTAATACTGGCATAATAATGAGTTACTGGTTGTATGTTTAAAAAGCAGAGTCAATATAGAGAGGACCTTGATATATTAACACTTTCCAATGTTAAAAACACTGTATTTATGGAATTTTTCTAAATTGTTTATCCTAATATTCTACTGTTATTCCTTAAATTTTAGTTATCATATAAAATTCTGAAGTCATTATAAAATTTCTTTAAAAGTGAATCTTATGAATAGTACCTTTCATAGTATTTTTTACTAAATATTTTATCTAAAATATTTTTTACTAAAAATATTATCTAAATATTTTTTACTTTACCTTCTTTATGTCTGATAGTAGCATCATCCAACATATCCAAAGAAGTGATCATAGAAGTTGGTGATCTTTTCTTCATTTCTATTTGTGTGGTCTTGGCCTAAAAAGAAATTTGATGAGTATAATAATGGCTTCTTCCCAAGAGTATAACTATAAGAAGGTTTATAACCTCTTTAAATATGCTGATTTTTACTTCCAGAAGCTTTTTCTTTTTCTTTTGGAAAATGTGTATAACTTGCAACTTGACAAAATAATTGTATCCTATGAGGTCAACTATAAAAGGAGTAAATCAGAAAATGATAGTGGTATTACCCATATTTGACAAAGAATTCAATGTATAGTTTAAGATTATTGTGAAATATCCAGTTGGTAAGCATGCTATTGAATAGCAACAGTATTTCTCTAACACAGGGATGGGGAATGTCTGGCCCCTGGGTATAAGGCCCATGAAATTATTTGATCTGGCCCTGCCACAGCATTAGGAGTGAGTTAATTAAATGTTTGACAAAATATAGCAGGCTAATTTTTAAGTTGATAATTTTGTATGACCCGCAAATGATGTTATAAATATCCAAATGGCCCTTAGCAGAAAAAAGGTTCCCCACCCCTGCTCTAACATCTTAAATTTCTTTCCTTGAGACTATGTTAACAATATAACTTTGCAAATTCTCTTGACAAAATAAAAATACAATGCAAATGAAATAATTCTGGAAGAATATCAAGTAATAGATAATTTTTTTAAATTATGTTGTTAGAACATATATGATAATTCCATAAAGTAATCACTTCTTTCTGTCTCTCATATCTCTTGAATAACAGTTTTAGATACCCTCTGCTTTGCTGATGTGGCTACACAGGGTTAAAAAGAATCCTTGCATTGAAAAGGCACTCACAACTCCTAACTTTGATGTTGAGATTATAACTTCTACACATTCAGTGTTACCAATATAGCTCAAGATGTTTCTAGTGACCATGTATAAACTTTGTAATTTGATTTAGACTGTAAGAAATTCATAATGGGTAATGATATTACACCATAGATTTCCCAAGAGTTTTCACATTTGGCACACACAAAGAATAATATTTATCTATTTGTTAACTTGGGATAAATAGGTGAAGCTACTCTTGGATAGAAATAACTATCCATGTTTAAAAAGCAGAGTCAATCTTATAGAGAGGACCTTAATATATTAATTACATATATATGTATTATATAGTATATATATTATGTAATACCCATATATATGTAATTACATACACACAGCTTGGAATACTCCCACCTTAACACTGAGGGATTTAGTAGATGAGGCTCACCAATAACCCATACACAATACACTCAGGTTGGCAAGTTCTGCTGTTGTCTATCTGAAGAGGCATAATAGATATGAAAGAAATCATATTCATATCACTCAGTACCAGTCAAATCCCTTCTAATTTCACAAATAGTGGTGAAAACCAGTTGTATTTCATACTGAGTTCCACTGGCAGATTCTGTAGGTCTACAAATCTTAGTTTCCTCCCCGCCTCCCTTTTTTAACTCAAAAACTAAGCTAAAAACTGAGGATGTCAAGTTAATGTATTTACTTAAACTATGATTATTTAAGAAATTATTTTAGCTCACATAAAATTACATAAAATATAAGTTATAAATTATACAAGTCCAAATTTCCATGAGATAAAAAAATACATAAGCATACTTTTTTCCTGTTATTAAGATCTGATGAGGATTTCCCAAGTGTATCTTTATGATGATGACACTTTGGTGATATAGGGAATAATATCTTTCACTATGCTCTTAATATAGAGAAATTATTTCCCATAGAGCTATTTCTGACAGTGACAATGATTCATGGAATCACACCAAAGAGCAAGTCAGTAAAGACAGTCTTCTGCGTGCGGAGTGGATGGATGGAGTAGGGAGAATAATAATGTTATTGTTGATATAGTCAATGCCAATTTTCTACTAATTTGGGTTGAATATGGATGTATTTTAGAATACAAAATGAACAAATTGAGCTAAAAATATTAAATGAACACCCACGTGTGGGCCAACTCTTAAGGATACAGCTATTTACAATGCAAATTGAGAGGATCATAACAGTAACTCCTTTTTGGAAGTTTAAGAGTTAATCAGGGCATATGCCTGAATTTTAGAAAATTCAATGTCAAGATTAGACTGGGAAAAGGGACTACGTTTCTCATAACAAGTTTAAATTTTCTCTGGAGGGAGGTATGAATAAGGAAGGAAGAACACAGTCATATTTCTGGCATTAAGCAACAAATACCTGAAGTGTTCATCTTGGACTCAGACTTTCTCTCTTTACTGCAGCCACACTGACCCTGTTTTCTCTCCCTATGCAGCACGATCATTCCTCAGATCTCAACTCAAGTAACAGTTCCTCATAAAAACCTTTTCTGACTCAGAGAAATACTTTATTAGTCTCTCAAAGCAGAATATTACTCTCTTTATAGTTACAGGGGTTTTTTTTTTAGTAGAGAATAATAAAGTCAACGACCAGGAACCCAATATTCAGCTTCAACAATTAACAACATCATACCCTTCATTTATAATATATTATTCATCCAAGTTTCTTTCTGAAAGATTTAAAATCAAATTTTAAACATTTTTATTTTTCAATTACAGTTGACATTCAATATTATATTCTATTAGTTTCAGGTACACAGCTTAGTGGTTAGACATTTACATAATTTACAAAGTGATCACTTTTTAAATCTAGTACCCATCTGGCACCATAGTTATTACAATATTATTGACTATACTTCCTGTGCTGTACTTTACATCCCCATGACTATTTTGTAACTACCAATTTGTACTTAGTCCTTTCACCTTTTTTACCCAGCCCTCCAACACCCCTCCCATCTGGCTACATCTGTTTCTGTTTTGTTTGTTCATTTGTTTTGTTCTTTAGATTTCACATATAAGTTAAATCATGTGACAAAGAATTTGTCTTTCTCTGTCCTACAGAATAAGCTTTTTAAGAAACATAATCACAACACCATTATCATCAGCAGCAAAATTAGTAATTCCTTAATATTATCCAATACCCAGATCATGCTCAATTTTCTTTCATTGATCAGAAACATTCTATTGTAGTTGATTTGTTCCAATAAAAATACAAATAAGATCTACATATTGAACTTTGTTGATTTCCATTGAATATCTTGAGATTTTAATTTATTTTTTCTTATGTGATTTATTTGTTGATGATACTTGTTCACTTATACTGTAGAATTCTCCACATTCTTTGTTTGACAGATTATGTCCATTTAGTGTAATTTAATCTGTTCTCTCTCCTACTGTCCCTGGAAAAAGATAGATCTAGAGGCTTATTAGACTTAGCTCAAATTTTGGAAAATAATTTATTGTATGTGTTGTTTTATGTTTCTTATTTCATAATATCAGGAAAGACATAATGACTAGTGGTCCTAGAGTTACAATTTTGTGTCATGATAAGTTTATAGTCTATCTCCCCACTAGTTCATTAGATTTCACATATAAGTTAAATCATGTGTACCTTCATAGTACCTTCATGAAGATAGGTACTATATTTGTATCTATTCAAGTTTATTTTTAATCTGCAGTGTTTTGTACAATGCCTAGCACATAGCAGATTGACAAAGTGTTATTTAACTGGATAAATGAGTTATAGAAATGTCAGTTTAGATGGGCAAATAATTTGAAAATATTTATAATCCTGCAGTTGTATATATCTGATTCTTTTCCTGAGGTTTTGTCAGTAACTGACAACTTATAGAAAAGCTTTACTTGCAAATTGTGCAATTGATGGAATAATACTGTTTCAGCATTGAAACAAGTAAAGTGGTGAACACTAGGTTCTTTTCCTATGTACTGAGAAATCAAATACTAATAAATACAGATTTATTGCAACTGGAACTCCTCAATGAGGATTACATTTGAGGATTCATGAAGGCACTCATGTGTCGGTACATATCTGATGATCAATAAGCATTATTTGCTATTATTGTTATTATTATTTTAAATTTCCCTAAAATGGGATATAATCAGAGACTTAGAATTTTATGTTGAGGAAGTATTCTGCATATGAACTGCTGTGTCTTTTTGCGTTTGTCTTCTTGTGCTCCCTATAATTAGTCATTAACATTTTTCAGTTGCTCAGTATATTCTGAGAAATGCCAAGCACTTAACATGAATTTATTTCATTTGAATCTTATAACAACCTATGAGACAGGTGCATACTATAGATTTTTACATATTACAGATAAAGAATCTGAAGTTTAGAAAAATTAACAGAATTGGCAATACATCCATTAAATGACTAAAATTGACCAAAAAACTGAGCTGTTAGCCAGTATGATCTATTACTTTCCTATAACGTGAGAATATGAAGCATCTAAACACTCTCCCGATAATACCAACATTGGAATCTGACTCGTCTTCATTGAGATGGGTCACCTAAAGTGTCCTCAGTATGTTCCATGTTAAGTTCTCCCTCCAGTGCTTTCTTATGTATCAATCAAAAAAGAAAAGAAATCTTGTGAAAATGTTTTTCACTCTCACTTCCTGGAAAACCTTTGCATGACAAAATGTTCTAGTATTCTTCCAAGAAAAGAAATCTTTTACAATTGAGAATTTTAATGAAAATCAGAAAGGCTTTGTGTGATCCAGAGCAGCCAAATGAATGAGAATATTGGAAAATTAGGAAATAATCCAAGTTCTTAAGCAGAGTTAATAGGGCATCTCATCCTGGGATAAGAGCAGTATTGTGTTCTTGGATACATTTGTGTGTTGCCCTTGACATTTGAAATGTCACTTCAAAAGAAATTACACATTTAACATATCATTCAGACTGTAATCATTCAATCTTAAGGACCCAAGACTCATTTCTAGAAACAGAAAGCTTTTGTAATTTGCTTTTCTGTGACTTCCTCATGGGTGATATAATGGCTATACTCAATAGCCTCTTGTTATACATGTTTTCTTCATATGGTGTATAATTGCTTCTTGTTTCAATGGTATGTGTGTTATAGACCATGTAGACATAAGTATCCTATATAATAAAGAACTAATATGCTAATTCGACCAAATAGCAGAATGACCGTTCAGGCGACCTTCCAGACGAAGCCAGGGCTGCGAGGGCCGAGCCCCTTGCAAGAATTTTGTGCATCAGGCCTCTAGTCTATCAATAAGTTGTCATTCGGTATGATCCTGCATCATGTCATCCAGGCCCCACTTTTGGAAGAATGACTTTCCTAGAGCTTCTTTATTGATAACTCGAGGCCTAGTGCATAAAATTCATGCATAGGTAGGGTCCCTAGGCCTGGGACGCAATCAGGGCTGATCTGGGCCTTCTGGCTGCCGGCCAGGGCTTTCCTTCCCTGGCTACAGGCTGCTGCCCCACCCCCTGCTGGTCAGCACATGTCATAACAAGCAACCAAACTCCCAGTCTCCCAGTAGAACTCCCAAGGGAACACTTTGCATATTAGCCTTTTATATATAGACTAGAGGCATGGTGCACAAAAATTTGTGCACTCGGGGGGGGGGGGCGCATCCCCCAGCCCGGCCTGTGCCCTCTCGCAGTCTGGGACCCCTCAGGAGATAACGACCTGCTGGCTTAGGCCTGCTTCCGGGTGGCAGAGGGCAGGCCCAATCCCTAGGTGCAGCCCCTGGTCAGGCTCAGAGCAGGGCCGATCAGGAGGTTGAGGAGCTCCCCGCTGTCACTCACAGAGTAGGGCCAATAGGGGAGTTGGGGCACCGCTCCCTGTCACACACAGAGCAGGGTGGATCAGGGGGTTGGGGTGCTGCACCCTGTCACACTCAAGGCAGGGCCAATGGGGAGGTTATGGCTCTACCCTGTCACACACAGAGCAAGGCCCGTGGAGGGGGGTTGGGGCGCCACCCTCTATCACCCACAGAGCAGGGCCGATCAGGGGGTTGGGGCCCAACCGCTGTCACACTCGGGGCAGG